CATGTATTGTCTGGTTTAGTTTTTACAGTGTAATGTTATAGTGACGTAAAATGAAAATGTTTGTAGTGCGCAACAGTAATTTTAAAAAATGTAATTGTAATTGTAACCGATAATTATGCTTCAATAAAATAATGTAATAATAAATACACATTAAATAATAAAAACTGTGAAAATGTAGTTGCTACTTTTTAGTTGTTTGTTGAGAGTGTGGTAAAACTTTTATTTTTTGGAAAAAAAGTTGTAGAAGTCATAAAAACAGTGAAATTAGCACATAAAACGCTTCAACGTATAAAGAAAACGTGGAAAATATACTTCCATATTTTCGAGTCTATAAATTTGGCAGTTTTTTGAATTGGTCTGGACCGCTTCTCCTCGACAGAACTGGACTAACATCGTTTTATACGTCACAAAATTACTCCGAAAATTAATGTCAAAACTTTGCGAGAAAGATGACAATTTGTTCAAGTTGTGTGTGTTTACAACGTGTAAAATGGCTCTAAAATAATATATGGGAATTTTTTTTTTCGGTTATTTGGATAACACTATTTTTTAGTTACAACGGTCAAGTTAATTAGTTTATGATCCTCATTGTTCGTTGATAAGGGGGACGGAGATATGAAAGTCGTAAAACTCTATTTTCGTAGATGCCCTATAAATTTGTTTTTATTAACATAATCTTTAGTAAATTACAACTAAAACAAGTAATTGTGAACTAATTTTGATAATAACAAAAACATTCGTCATTTTTAAACGTGTGTTTTAAAAAGCACATTCTTGATTGTGTGAAAATTCTATTATTTCAATTTTATTGAATCATTTAATTTATTTAAAGGAGTTACACTTAAATAACCTTACAATAGTGACGTTCAATTTTCTATAATAAATTCATCAAACAAAAACACATTTTGACCCTCGCTACCTGCTTTCAAAGAAATTTCCAATACATTTGGCGAACAAAGGGTGCTTAATTTTCTCAAGTCAAAATTCCTCGAAAGACTTATCTTAATCCAGTAGTACAGAAGCGAAACCCCTTAGTTTTTGGTGGGGGTAACTGTATATATATTTGGCCAAATTTACCTGTCTCCTCAGATATTTTGAAGATTTAGTCAGCGAAAGAAGTCTACTTAATTCAACAGTCAAAATGGTAAATTTTAAGAAAATATTATTGTAGTTGTTGGTTTAGTACTTATTTATTTTTATTTCATAGTTGCTCTTCGAGCTTCCGTTTAAAATAATTGCCGCAGCTGCAACAGCTTTTTGCAATAAAGAAGTCGAGCCCAGTCAACGCCATCGTCGACGTCGACGCAGTAACAATAAAGGTTATCCAGGAAATGGCTACACAGATGACCACCGAAATCACCATAAGAGCCACCAAAAAAGACACTATGATGGTCAAAGCGGACTTGGTGGATACAAAAGGTCCAAGCGTGAGCGTCCAGCACGAGTGTTAGGATCCAAAAAGGGATCTACAAATCTAAAAATTAGTTTAGGATAGTGTTATATATATAGTTTTTAGTGTTAAGTATTTAAATTAAAATAAATGTTTTTTTTTACAAAATAAAAACTTGCATAAAATCTGTGATTTTTTTATTTATTTATAACGTTGGTTATAAAAACAATTTGATATTGAAATTTGTCAGCTGGAAGCTACAATAACATAAAGAAAGTGAGCGGTCCGAGAAGAAGAAATCGTATTGCTGGTTGCCTAACTGGAAAATTTGGCTTCTGTGGGTGAAAAATTTGCACTCAGTATTATATTTTTTCAAAATATTCAAGATGGAAAAACCAATGTAGCAATTTTTAAAATAAAAAATAAAGTGCGTAAAACTAGAGTACATTTTCAGCTAAAACTATAACTTGTGCTTTTAAAAAATATCGAGATGATCGGGATTTTTTTTCTACTTTAGGTGTCGTTTTCCGCTTTCTTCTAAAATTTTGCTTCTCTTAATGATTGCAAAAAAACTGCAATGCATTTGGGGCAAATTTTTGCTAAGTCAGACAACTCAAAATATTAGTTCAGGCGGTAAGCTGTAATTTATGACTCACACAATAGAGCACCTTTTAAGTGCCTTAAGCTTATTTGACCATCCCTTGAAGTCTCTGGCAAATAGAATTAAGAAAAAGGATAATTAAGATTTATATTACTTTTGAAGCAAAATACAATAATTAATGGTTTTATTTTTAATAGTCTCTGTAATATTTTTATCGCAAGCCGCAATGAACATTTAACCTCTGTAATTGAATAAGAATTTATTAATCCATCTGGAGAGGCTCCTAAGAATGTATTAACGACAGAATTGTGGTTTTCCACAGCATTGTTGTTGTAGTACTGGAAACTGTAGTTGGCAGACCTAACTTTTAAAGCCTTCCATAGGATTACTATAAAAGTATGAACTCCTGTCAAATATTGTTTATTACCCTTTTATTTATGGATAAAGGCCTGCACAGGAGGGAGATGAGGATGAGTCAAGCTAAGCGGTTGTAAAAATAGGCCCCACAGCCTAGGTAGAAAAGGCCGAAGCACTTTCGGAATACCATTGTATTATTATTTATACTAGCCCAAAAGGTATAAGGTTATATGACCATCATAAAAGTAGTTGACCGCAAATAAATACCCCCTTTGTGTGGTTCGCACTAAGCTTACCGGTTGGCAATAAATAGTAAAGAAATAGTGGAGTGGTGGATTTACATATTTAGTGAAAGCCGCCCCTGAATGAAACCACAACAGCCGGTCGAGCTGCAATGGACGCGTTATTTACGACCCTAAAACCTTTTCTATTGTAAACAACTTAACTTCGACACAATGGGATGATTTTATGATGGCCATATAACCTTATAACTTTTGGTCTACTATACCTGCGTATACCTACATGTAAATGGCACACTGTATGTCACTTGATCCAATCCATTTGGCGAACAAAGGGTGCTTAATTCTCTAAAGTCAAAATTCCTCGAAAGACTTATCTTAATCCAGTAATACAGAAGCGAAAGCCCTTAGTTTTTGGAAGGGGGCGTCAGGGGCCAAAAAGGGATCTACAAATCTAAAAATTAGTTTAGTTTAATATTATATATAGTCTTTTAGTGTTAAGAATTTAAATTAAAATAAATGTTTTTTTTTTTGCAAAATAAAAAGTTGTAGAGAAGATATGATGTTTTCTATTTATTTATAACGTTGGTTATAAAAACAATTTCATAGTGAAATTTGTCAGAAGGAAGCTACGATAATATAAAGAAAGTGATCGCTCCGACAGGAAGAAATTGTATTACTGGTTATCTAGCAGCAAAATTTGTCCTCCGTGGGTAACAAATTTGAACTCAGTGTTTATATTTTTTTAATTAATAATCAAAATGGAAAAATCAATGTTCGTATGTAGCACATGACGGGAGATATTTGCAATATTTTTATAGCTTGTATAACCAGGCCGACGTATTTGATGTTTTTTAACGATTATCTTAGAATAAAATAAATTGTTCTTGTTATTTACCTAGTAAAGATATTGTTCTTTTGTATACAAAAAGAGATCATTCTTTCATGTAGCTCCTTTTGGATAATTTGGATATGTGTAAACATGAGATCGTTAATGAATACAAAAACACAGTTAAAGTGAATTCGGCGAAAATTTTGAAACCCATCTACTGTTAAGAAGAATTTGAAAATTTTAATTTATGTTTAACGTATTTAGATGCAAAACCACGTATTTGACTACCTAATCAAGATTTTACCGAAATTAAGACCTCATGTTCAAAAATATCTAAAATAAGTTTAAAAAAAGGAAATTTAATTTCAAATCTAAAGTTAACTCCAGTGGGATAGTGCAAGAAAAAAAAGAAAACAAAAAACCCGAAACATAGATTTCTGATTATGCAAAAATACAGAATTATTTTGAAAATATATTGAACCATTTTCTGTGAAATATATATTTTTATTATTTATTTCAATTTATTAAAATATAATTTTTCTTCTACACATCCACTCATACCCAGTGTGACTTTTAGTAATATTAAAATAAAATACGAAACAAATTTCATCAACATATGGTTTAAAAATCAAGGACTTACGGTAACGCGTACGTATAAACAGCAAACCGCAAGAAAAACAGTAATATTTGTTTGTCAATAAAAAAATAAAATAAATTGCAAGAAATCTTTTAAAATTATAATGTAAAACTTCGTTGGTAAATCTTCATTATAAAAGTTTTTCAGCTGACCTACTTCAAGGATGGGAAGAAAAATAATTTTTAGTTTTTATGTCATCCCTAAATTAGTATTGACGTTCTGGTAACTATTATAACTTTATCATTTGCTTTCACAAAGTTATTTTTACTGTCGAAATTTATTCTATAACGTCAATACTGTGTTTTTTTAATGTGTTTTTCCCAACAAAAATCATTTTCACTTTTCTTCGAAAAAGTTTAAAATCTTTGGTTTGTTTTGTAAACATTATCCACTATTTAAATGGAGATTTAAACCACACGTGCAGTACCAGCAACTTCAAACTTGTTTTCGAAGAAATACCAGTTGAACAGCTCTTCAAGCATTCACCTCCTACGTATAACTGACGCGAGATTGACGTATTACCGACGTCATTCTGAAACCAACGAAAAAAAATTGGGTTGCTTTCTTTATGAGACCCAATTTTTTTATACTTAGTTTTAATAAGCTGTACAATTTATCATTGATTGTTAACATGAGCACTAGTTGCATCTTGTCATTAAGCACACTTTAGTAATCCAAAATTGCAAAATATGTATGCACAGACATAAATTGTTCACTCGATAGATCTATGACCCCGAGTTCGATTTTATCATTCTCGTTTCCAAACAAAGTCAAATTAATCAAACCATTACAAGAGCCGCTGGTAAAACCCCAATCACTAACCTAGGCCTATTTACCTATTCAAAACCGTAAATCCCGCCACAAGATGTATACATTTTCATAAATACGCAAGTGAAAGGTTTTTATCTTGGAGGGGCATTTTTCTATAAAATACAAAGATTAAACCCAAACTGACAACAACTCAAACTCAACTCAAAGATCTTAAACTAGCATCCAGCTCCACGATGTCTACAAAAATGGTAAACATCAAGAACAATTTTGATTTTTGTTTATTTATATGTTTATTTTATTTTTTAGCAAGTTTTTGCCCTTTTGGTAGTAGCAATGATTGTGGCCTGTAGTGCTACCCCAGTCCCTGAAGCTGACCCAGCAGGCTATGGAGGCTACGGTGGTGGACATGGACATGGACACGGAGGTGGTCATGGGGGACATGGCGGTCACGGTGGACACCACGGCGGTCACCACGGCGGTCACTACGGCGGTCACCATGGCGGTCATGGTGGCCATGGGCATGGAGGACATGGATATGGGCGTTAGATGTAAAATATGCGAATGTGGTAGTACAGGGTATAATAGTTATAGTGTGTCATTTAAGTTTAATCATCAACATCGTTTATCATATCCGATCAATTGTAATTTATTGTAAAAATAAAAGTGGATATCCCTATTTACTATTTTTTTATCTCTTGGATGTAGGATTAAACATCTTCTCCAGAACCTTTTTTCCATAATTTAACTTAATTCCTTTATAAAAAAATAACAATACGTATGCATTGTGCCTAAAAGAAGTACAAGGTTTTAAAAAGATTTATTAAATTCATTTTTCCATAGGAATATGTTTATAAGGTGATTTGGATGTATATTGTTTGGAATTTCAGAAAAATTCGATGATAAGTTTCAAAAATAATCCATAAGTCAATAGAGACGTTAGTTATAAATAACTACAAATACATTTTCAAAAATCGTACTGATGAAAACAACTTACCCACATTTTCAAGTTTTGTGTGTTGAAACTGGAATATTTTTTTATCGTCGTTTGAAAACTAAAAATATGCGTAGGTATCTTTTACGGAACAAAATATTAAGAAAGTTTTACATTGTTATGTTTTTTTGTTGACTCGTATTCATTTAAATGCGAGATATAAAACTGCTTTTTTTTTGGTTGTTTTATCTTCTAGTGAATATATTCCTCTGTGACTGACTTCCACTACAGTCGTTATTTAAAGGCACGCAAACTAGTGTCAATTCTTTTTTAATGGATTTCAGTGAACTGATAAAAGGTACAAATGTGACTCAAATAAGATATTTTTCTTGTGAGTGGCATCGTTAAAAAAACCTAATTAGCTATGGACAAATTATCAAATTATAATCTATTCCTTGTCATAGTCGGAGGTAGGTATCTTTCATAGGAATTATACAAAGTCCTTGGCATTATTCATTTGAATACCTACTGATATATAATCTATGTAGGGAAAAACATTCCTGTAGTCGTTATTCAGATTTTATTGGTGCTACAACGGCATAATGGTAAGTCCTTTACTTCATTATTATTAATTTTTCTTTAGTTGTTTATTATTATTTTTTATAATTTTTTTTCAGAAATTCGCAATTTTTGTGTTTCTGTTGATTATCGTAGCTATTACTTTCGCTCATCCACTAGCAGATCCAGATCCCGATCCTCACCATCATCGTGAAAAAGTAAAAATCAAAATTAAAATAAAAGATTATGGCGGTCACGGACGCGGATATGGAGTTGGCTATGGAGGCGGTTATGGCGGCGGTTATGGAGGAGGTTTCGGTTTTGGATTTGGAGGAGGCTACGGTGGAGGATATGGCGGAGGATATGGAGGAGGCTTTGGAGGAGGCTACGGTGATTATTAAAAATCATACTTGTCTGCGTAAAAACACAAAAAACTGATGTTTGATACAAATTTAATATTTTCAAATAAAGTGTAAACCAGTTAAAACAGATATTTTGTAAACAGATTAAGATAGTTTTATTCTAATAAAACCTGTTTTCTCTTCACATAAATATTTATTATGTCTGGTTTTCACCTGAGAAAAATCTGAAGCAAAAAAAAGACGTTAAATATCAACACAAAACTTAAAACAGTGCAGTAATTATAATTAAAAAGATATCGAGGACCGCTTGCTTAATGACACATCCTGTATATACCGTGTATATATGTGGGTAAAATATGAATTATTTAATTGTTATTTGAACGAAAAAAGTGGATTCATTACAATATCTTAGTAAAAAAAAAAAAACAAATAATTATTACAACTTTAATTTTACAGTTTTACAAAAAATAAAGTTGCATCATGTTAGAACTACAATTTTATTTTCTAAGATTTTCATAGCTGTAAAAGCTGACATTTTAAATGATCAGAGCCTGATAATTTAGTCTAGTTACAAAAACACTACAGTCTTAATCGTCTACTTTTATTTAGTTTTACTAGGATTAAAATTGACACCCCTGAGTCTGACTAAAACACTATTTTTATTTAAATTGATATTTTACGAGCCATAGACTCGTGTGCCTCCTACAGAAGTGCCCTTTGGTGAAGAAATCCTGTCACTGTGGAATCCTCTACTTCCTGGTAGTCCATGACCCACGCCATCCTGAGAGTGTCGATAAGCACCATGAAAATGATCAGACCCACGAACTCCTACATTACGTGAATTGTCTCCAAATGGGAAAGCTGTCACCAAACTTGCGACAGCCAAAATTGCAATACAAAAGAAATTAAACTGAAAATACACCAAGTAATAAACTAAGTTTAAAAAATCAACCACTTACCAAGAATTTCATTTTGCACAACTTTTTCTTAACGTGAAGATATTTTGCTAGTATCGGTGACTATGTCTTATAATACTCACTAGTATATTGTTATTTGTGAAAAATATGTAAAATATATCAGTTTCTTAGACAAGCGCAGTGTTCTAAGAAGTTTATCTTTTTGACCTCAACCCATCAAGGTTGAGATAAAAACCGAAACAAATTAAGTGTAAATTTTTTTGAAACGTATAAAACGGACAAACAAGACAAAAATATCCGGTGTTAATTTAATAAGACTTTGTCACGTGATTTTGTTTTGTTGCGATTTTTGTCAGAGAACAGTTAGTTTATATTTATAATAATAAATAAACTTGTTAATATTTTCTTTATTCATTTGGTTATTTATGTAACAGTTTTTGAAATGTTGTCTTAAATTAAACAATGCATAAAAATACTAAGTTATAAAAATTTATTTCAAGGATACTAACTAGTTCAAGTTAGTGTTTATTAGCACGAGTATTACTGGTTGTCTGAATCTATTGCATGCATTTCTACTAAAGATCCTTAAAAATATTACCAAAGGTGAATCAAATTGCAAAAATTAAAAATAAGCAACCGGTTTTGTAGTTTGACAAATTATTTCTAATGCATAAATGTAGCAGCGAGGTTGGAGGCTTTCAAGAAATCTAAAGGGTATTGCACTCAATTTTTTCTTTTCAAATTCCTGCTACTGACGTTGGTTGCTATAGCTATCAAAGGTTTTTCTCAAATTTCATTTGCAGCCTGTACTTACCGAATTTTGAGAATAATCTTCATTTAGGTACAACACTTTCAGGATAAGTTAAACTGTCAAAAGAAACTGTTTGTTCATGATTCAAAAGTACATTTTATTGCTTTTAAAAAACACTTCTATTTTAAGATTTAATTAACGAAATATTACGTTGTAACTAGTGGCGAGCTGGCGCGCTCCCAGGACCATGGGGGTTATAAGTCCCGTCAACGCTATGAGTTCCAAAAAACTGTCCGCTCTTGTGTTCTCCACTTTGACGAATCGGAGCGCCTGCGGTATTTTGACTAGATCCAGAGGCACCAAAAAAGCGTTTTTTGGGAGTAGCGGAAATCGTCACTGCCAGAATCAGGAAAATAATCTGAAAATAAAATGTTTTTAATTCAAAGTAGGAAACTTTAAACTTGAATGCGACTTAACGAGAAGTTTCATTTTCAGCACGTTTCACTGTTTCTTGGGTCGAATAAAAATAACACTACGCTGCTGTCGTATATGTAGTGTTGCAGAAGATATATTTATCTAGTTTATTAAACAAATAATACCAGGAATTATTAAATGACATTCCAGGAAGTAACATCTTGTGATAATTCCTGTATTTGTAGTTTTTTTTTAGATTCTTATTGCATTAATGTTTGAGTTTATTTTTATTTTAAATATTTGAATAAACTAAGGGGAATTACCATTTACGATCGCTTTAAATGGTTTCTGTTTAATAAAAAAAGAGCAGGATTGAGTTGCTCGGTACAACGTTTATTTCTTTATTATTTTTTTTCAGTACCACTGCTAGTGGTGCACAGTTTTCATAAAATTTATTTAAAATTTTGAATTAGGTTATGGTTATTCTTCACCTTTAATCTAACTGGGCAAGCTTAGAGGAGTAATAATTTGTTGACATCTGAATAAAGTTTTTGTATAATTGGTTGCATATACTAGAACTTAAATATAAATTAATAATAACTACATATAAACACACATGTATTTTAGCGTCATGGTATTAGTTACCTTCAGGTATAAAAACAGATAATATTCAGGTCAATATCCTAGTAATTGGTTCACCTTCCTGATGAAGGTACGGCATACCGAAACACGTGTAGCAGAGATTTTTCTAAATGTTACCTGAACTGGTTTCACCTAATACTAATAATAATATGTGTCTTTTAGTGCAAGGCAGTATGTTAAAATAATTTCCCTCAGACTTAAAAGTTATTAGTTTCAACCAAGGGCTATTAGGTATTACACAGGATGATTCGGGTACCATGATTAGGCCTAAATGACGAATGTGATTTGTAGTTACCGACAACCCTAAAATAGATTTTCATGTATTCCTTGATTAACAGCAGAATTCCAAAAATATCACAAATCTATGAAGTGTGTGCCTTGGGGTACCCATAGGGACAAGTCAAATTCGTCATTTACGCTGAATCAACCTGTACATACGGGCTGGTTCACGAGTAATAGGGCCTGAATAAATTTGAAACGCAACCCAAAATACATTTTCACCACTATCTTTGATATTATTACATATAACTACAATTGGAGCATTAAACATAGTAACCTTAACAGTTGTCAAAAGGTTCGATTATTCCTTGTTTTTCAATTGTATATATTTCAAAATTTCTTGAAGACATAATGCTCTAGTCATTTTCTTTTATATTTCCGCAAAATTTTCCTTGATGTGTTACAATTAAGGTGTCAAACAATTTATCTTGAACAAACTTCATTATGGCTGCAATTTGCCTTATCAAGTCGCTTCACATATTTCCCACCCAAATAAATGTATTTTCGATGTATCCTCTCTATATGCATGTTTTTATTCAGCCCAGTATGCATCTTAAAGCAACATGCCCACAAATTCAGGCTTATGAATGAGCATAATAGGTGTTAAAATAGTCCAAGAATGGTTGGGTGTTGGCTTCACACCCCAGTTGATTTTTAAATTTCGCCAACATTTTTTTGAACGCCAAACTGTCCGTTTCGTGCAACAATGTTCTCAACTGTTTATAAACTTACAGCTAAAATATTTGTTATGCCAACTGAATTATTACATGTATTTTTGCACATTTGCCTCACATGTTTTTCTTTTGAACTGATCTTCGACAAGTTATTTCTCTGAAGATAAGCGAAGAAAAATGTTGGTGCCTTGGTGGGAATTGAACCACACATCACCCGCTTGCCGGGCAGGTATCCTGACCACTAGACCACGAGGCCGCTTATCTTTCTCCGCTTACCAACGTGTTATTGTGCCGCCGCATCTCCATGTCGTCTAAATGTCAAGTACAATTAATCTAGGTGAGAAAAATAAAAAAAATCAAGTAAGTGGTAATATATCACAAAGTCGATGATGGTAGTCACCGATATAGTGGCTGGGGCATGACTTGAATCCAAGCGTGATAAAATGCGTCAGTCAAATCAGACATGAAAACTTGGGGGCTGATTCTTCTCACTATATTCTTAACGCAAGAGAAAAGTAGACTAAGGATTGTTTGATCAGCTCTATTCGATATCAGAAACGCACAGGGAAACCTTTGACCCTTGCGGTAAATTGTCCAAAACCGAGACGCAAATACAGTCAGATCCGAGTCTACTGAGAATTTCTACCTGGGTCTCAGGCATTATAATAAGAACAAAATCGTGAACCATCAGATATGGATCATTGTCATCAGTTGTTGCTAGGGGTTTATAACATAAAACAGCGGCACCTTCTTTCATCTCTTTTGCCCATGAATCTTATTTTTCTGTAAGAAGATGAAATCGTTTCAACTCGGAATCAGCAACGGAATCACGCACTTCATCTAGTATTGATGTGAAGGGTATTTTGATGCAATTTTTTTCAGCGATGTTATCGCGTTCTGAAAAAGTTAAAAATAAATGGCCAATCTCGTTTTGATGACCAACATGAGTTTTGTAAATTTCACACTGACTTTTCCGTTTCGCTGTATCACGGCAATTATCACGACCGGGCAACAATCGTCTATTTTGTTGGAGCCCTGTGTCTTCAACTACCGTTTGCCTTGGTTTTGTCATAAATATGTTTGTGACAAATATTTGATTGTTGTGATCTGTGGCGGAAAATGTATCTTTTTTTCACGTATCTTGATCTTATAGTTTTTTCAACATCACATTTCCAGGTGTTAAATTGTTCGGTGAAATTTTACAAAAGGCACTTCCTGGATTTCGTACAAACTGTTAGCGCAAAATTCTTCTACGTCACCCCCCGATTACGTTCCTCACTTTCAAAAGTTGTGCAAATGATTTCTTGTGTCAGAAAATAATATTTAGTGTTCGCCCTATGGTTTGCACCATATTAGTTGTGCCAAATGTAGGCAACCAACTATGCATGCAGTTTAACTCGCACGAATTTGATTAAATTTTATTTAAAGTTCGGTTATGTTGGCAACAGCTTATAAAGGGTGTACGAATGGGCAATTTAACAATTTTTTTGTGACCAAAGGAAGCATCTGCACAAAGATGAGGAACATGATCAGGGGGTGCTGTAGAAGACTAGTGTGCAAACAGTTTGTGCAAAATCGAGACGTGCCTTTTGTAAAATTTTACCAATTTATAGCCTGCAGTATCTTCTGGCACCAGATTATTTATTTCGAGGGGATGAAACTTTAAGACATGTTCCTTTAGGTTAGATTTGTTTGAAAACGTTTTTTTGCATTTTTTACACTCGAAATCCATTTCAACTCTTTCATTTGCTTCTACACCAATAAACATATTATCAATTCTCATCAAATAATCGAGTTTAAATTGGATTTATTGTTAAAATTAACCAAACATGTGAATGAAGACACTGACAGGAATGACAGGACAGAAGCCGGCGCAGAAAAAAAATTTCAAAATACTCTTGTGATTGGTTGGGATCAAGGGTGACTTACCATTCGCTAGACGCCAGTTAAAAGTTGGGGCCGGGTTTCAGATACTGGAGGTAGAGGATTTGGTTGATTTGGTCGAGGTCTTGAGGAGGCATCAAATGGCTTATATTTCGTCAATTTTTTCTTAATATAGGAAGTCTTCTTTTCCCAACAAGAAACAGAAAACATGTTTAACTATCTTGTTGTTGAACGAAAACTATATATATTAGAAAAAAAAACAAACATTATGCCCCACCCACCCGCCCCAATCTCAATTGTGATGAATTTCATATGGTAATTTCTTGCAGAGAAATGAGAATTTTGCAACAAAACTCTGACCTTCAGCTCATGATGAATAAAACATTCGTCACAATTGAGGAGGGGTGGGTGGGCGGGGCTTATATTTCGTCCATTTTTTCTTAATATAGGAAGTCTCCTTTACCCAACAAGAAACTGACAATATGCTTAACTATCCTGTTGTTGAAAGAAAACTCTAATATTAAAAAAAAAAGAAAAAAAATTACGCCCCACCCACCCACCCCAATCTCAATTGTGACGAATTTCATATGGTAATTTATTTTAGAGAAATGAGGATTTTGCAACAAAAGTCCACCCTTCAGCTCATGATGAATAAAATATTCATCACAATTGAGAAGGGGTGGGTGGGCGGGGCTTATATTTCATCTATTTTTTTCTATATACGAAGTCTTCTTTTTCCAGCAAGAAGATGTAAGGACAATTGATTCAAATTTAAGTAGGTAGGTGGCATAGATTAATATAGATGCGACATACAGGCTGATTTTGCAAAACCACCCTTATTGACATGGAGTCCTCAACCGCCAAAGGCAAGAGCCAAATTTAAATAGTCCTTGTTTCACTATAATTGTAATTCGTGTGACCTAAATGAAAGCGAAGGAAACAGTAAGCAGCTTGTAATATTCTGGTAAATATAGTGTCGTTAAAAATATTATGACATTTCTTCTAGTTAATTTTATTCTTAGTTAAAAACAAACACTGCTGCCAACATAAATTGAGGAGTCATTTGATTTAAACTATGACGCTTCTCTATGTTCTCTGGCAGGAACTGTCAAATGGTGTTATTCATTTTATCGCAAAATACGTTAAACTTCTAGAAAACATAATATTAACAAATAAATGTTTTTCTCATAAATTCCATAAACTTTAAAAAATATTTGTCAGTTTGATCCGTTTTGCTTCACACTGTAGGAAAAAGGGATATAGGTTTTGGGCAAAAAAATCAACACCTATCTTAATTATGCTATTTTCTTGATAACAAATTTCAGTTTGACAGTACATATTTAGTTAGAAATTATTGGCATGATTCTGGTGCCTCACTTTGTGTTTGTTGCCCGTCCTTCCCCTACCCAGAATTTGTAAATATTTGAAATGATCAATTTGGTAGCATCGAGTTCAACTACGTTTTTAGACAGATTAATAATTAAATATAGTACTAAATTTTATGTTTGATAGACTTGTCATAATCATTTTAAATGAGGACAGGTGTCCTAAAAGGTTCAAATCAATACAGTCTACCCAGGTGAAATAGCTGGTACTTTAAATTTAAAAACATTTTAACTGTACCTAACTTCTAATTGTCAAAGCATATACCAGAATGGACACTTTTATCGACATTTTTCTTTAGTCATCAATCGCTAAAGCGTTAAAAAAATCAAAGGATTCCGTTAGAAAGTTGTTTATGGATACATTTAGTCTTCCAAGTAGTCGCGGTAATGCGAAAAGTCAGTGACTCACGAAATTAGTATGTATGGCTAGCACCGGGGGACTAGTAATGACTGAAGCAAATTTTTGTGTTGGCAATTCTGAATTATTGGCATCTATGTTAATACATCAGTCTACAGTTGTCAATTTTGACATGAGCACGTCTAGTAAACGTGTTGTTTGGCTGAAACGATGGCAGTTGTCATGTCTTTGACAATCAGATATGTCACGATAAAATTTTAAATATGTAGCCAACCTGATAAAAAATCACAAACATTAATATTACAGTCACTCGGTATTTAAAAATATATTAACAGACATTTAAACCTGGGAAATTTG